TGGCCGGGGCCACATTTGATGCTATTCATAAGCAAGTTCTTGGTGCCGGGACCGATGGATATACAGTCGTCTCCCGTTTGCATTGTGCTGCCAGTGATTGAAACGCCATTAGAGGATTGAACGTGGATGCCATCTGTGTTAGGGCTCGTGTCCGGAGCAATGAGCTTCACATTTCGGACTATCACATTGTTGCAACTATTGACCACAAGGTGAGCTAGCTGACTGTTGATCGAGGTCAAGCTGGTTACTATCACATTATTTGCCCAATTGAAAGTTATTGACTGCAAATAGTAAGTCAATCTTAGTTTACTTAATCGATGATCCAACCGATCAATATGATAATTTTGCATCTCGAATGATGTGACAATTGAATTTTATATCGATTTAAAAAAAAAATCAATTATTGCGTCATTTCGAATAATAACTTTGTAAATATAATATTATAAACTTACCCTTGCTCCAACTGAACAATTCTGTCCGGATTTCCTGCAATCCCAGAAGCCAGCACCTTGAGCATCAAGATTGCCACCAGTGACTGTAAGATTATCAACCTCAATGAACAAAATCCAGTACCCGGAATTTCCAAGTGCGCGATAATCAGAAGGAGCTACAATTGTTCCAGATATCTTCACTGTAATTTTCTTCTTGCATGGCCCTCTAAACACTACATTCTTTACCAAATACCTTCCATTTGGAACGCTAATGGTGGCCGCCTTGGCTGAGCTACACGCCGCTTTCCATGCTCCGAGAAACGCCTGTGTTGAGTCTGTTTTTCCATCTGCTTTTGCACCATAGCTGGTCACATTGAAAATTGCACTACTTGAAGCTGCAATTGAAGTTTGAATGAAGAAATACAGAAATAAAGAAGAGAAAATAAGCTTAATTGCCATATCTTTTGGATAATTAAGCAAGAAAAAAAACAGTTGGTAGACAGTTATAATTTGATGAAACAAAGAGGACAGTTGAAGAGCTATTTATACTACAAAAGATGCTTGTAATATAAAGTTTAATTGAAATTCGAATAATTAATTTTAATTACCATAAAGTAATTTTTGTCAAAAGTTAATTTCTTTCTTTCTTTTTTTTTTTTTGGTGTGGCACATTGTCTCATATACATGCATGTGATAATTATAATATTAATTGAGATTAAGTAAAGACTAAGACATGAGATGCATTAATTGATAGCTAGAATTTGCGGCTAATTAATGTATTAATTTGGCAACAAAATTATTCTCTAACCATTGGTGTTAATGACATGTACTGGCTGTACCAATTGTTGGTGGTATGAAATTAATCAATCTTGGCCATGTTGAAGAATATTTTAATTATTTGTTGAAATATTTCTTTCCTATTTATCATTGAAGTTTGTTAATTTATTTGGTCATTTTCTAAGTGTATNACTTACTGGACATTATTTTGTACTCACCCCGTTGTTTTCTTTGTGATTACAAGATCTAGGTGAGAACGCGGTTGGATGGGCGTCGGCAAGCGAGGAGCAATAGCTACACTGTCCGCTGTTTTAATGGCATTTTGTAAATGATAGTGTTATTTTGCATAAAGAATGTTTATGTGTAATAAAAGAAAATTTTGGGCCCATTTACTTTTACCAAGATAACTGTATTTTACTTAATATATCGCTATGAGTATCCTAGTATAAAGCAGTCATTACACTTCAACAAGTCTTTCGGGATCCTGAAGTTAACAGCCATGTAAGTTTTAGCATATGGGGTTGTTCGAGCTAGCTTACGCGCACCTCAACTAATCCCTCGAGGCCCTAAAGTTGACGGCTACGTTGTTTGTTTGTTTTTTTTTTTTTTTTTTTTTTTTTAAATTCCTTACATTTTTCTTTATCATTATGCCAAATTCAGCTTAAAATTCAAAGTTTTGTCTACTCTAAGACAGGGGAATGTAACCCAAATCAAACTGTAAATTTCGTCTAAGGTCAAATATGGGCGAGAGACCGATAGCTAACCCAAGGTTTGTCCTTAGGTAGGAATGATGTTATGTATAATTGTTCTTAGTTTTGTTTATTTATTTATTTATTTATTTTTTGTGAATCCTATCCCAGGGTATGTCCTATGGTAGGATGACTTTGTCTCATATCTTTTATGTGCTTAAGATAAACAAACAGTGAGAGATTAGATTCTCAATCTATTAGGCTTGTGTTTTTGTTCCTATCTCATAGCCTGTCCCGAGGTAGGTTGACTGGTTTTTTTATGGTCTCTTTATACATTCTTTCTCTACTTTAATGATATTACTTATTTATCAAAAAAAAAAAAAAAAAAAAAAAGACTTTGAAAAGAGAATCAAAGAGTGTTTGAAATTGTTGGGAGGTTGAGCCATTTCCAAGGTGGGCAAGTCGTTAACCAATAGTTAGTCAAATGTTAAATAAAAAAGATAACTCTTTCTGAGCACCCGTCGATATATCTGAACTCTAATGTTGTCATCAACCACCATGTCCCGATTTAGGAATTTTAAGCCAGTTCCCTTTCGAAGCTCACGGGCTAGGTGCCATCAGATGGGGGAATAATTAACTATCTTGTTAATTGTGTATAAAATACGAATTAAGTGAGCTTAACTAAGTACAAGTTTGTCAACAAAACTTAAAAGTGCAATTAGTCGTATAACTAGCTAACTGCCATCATCAATTGAAGAGCCATAATTTTTTTATTTTTAATTAATAGTATATATTTGGTGTTTTTGGACAGGAGGATTTCTAAATTATATTGTTTACATGTTTATTGTTTAACACTCATACATTCCTTCTGTCATGTGACACGTGGAGCAAACCCGGAGCATTTGCAGGAGAGAAGTTCGCTCAATCATGTAACTCTAAAGTCTCTAATCAACTAAAGTCAACTCCAGTGAAAGACTTGAAACAATTACTACAGTACATTAAAACTTTTGTAAATTAATTATAATTTATAACAATGTAACGGGATAGATATGTAAGTTCTTCTTAGTATACAAAATATATATTTATCAAAATCACTTATTTAGCTGGGCTGAGCTTTGCCCCAGAGTCTCATATTTGTTTAGTTGAGAACTTGAAATTACCTAAACCTTAAGCTAGTAGGTGAATGCTCAATATTATATTAGTTTAATGAGTTAACAACTTTTTCCCACCCAAATAATAGATTAATAACATTTTCCCATCTACAAACTTTTAAAATACCATTTTATTAACCAAACTTATATTCTGATACTTTTAAAATATCATTTTATTAGTCAAATTTATATTCCTGTGATGAATAGAGAGCAAACTTAGTCTAAGTTGTTGGGTTTTTTAAAGAGGGAAGGCCTCACTTTGGTGGTGAAAGATTGAATTTTGGTGATAATTGGGATTAATCGGAATTTAACTTGGGAAGGACGGTTACGCAAATCCTAATCGTTTGATTGTTGATGATTGTCGGGGTTGACGGGAGTAGGATTTGAGGGGTTTTGGTGAGTGATGATCGGAGAAGAGAATGGTTGTGGTGTGTTGTAGCAACGGTGCCAGAATTAGAAACAAAATATAAATTTGGATAGTAAAATGGTATTTTAAAAGTCCGTGGGTAAGAAAGTGTCATTAAGCCATTATTTGGGTGGGAAAAAAACATTTACTCTAGTTTAATAGATCTTTTCATATCAAACTTATTATTATTTTTTTTTTATCCAATTAATAGTACTTAACTAATATTATAACATATGCCTTGTATTATACTATGGATTGAGCAGTAAGCAATTTGTAATTAATGCCTAAATTTAGAATTATGATATAAACTTAACATCAACTTGTGACATATTATATTGCTAGTGTTGAAATATATTAGTTATCGTTAAGGTTAAAATCGTTAGGTTCATGTATCATTAAGTATCTTCATAAGCAAGCGGGCTGATCAAACTTTACAATTCCTTAAAAAACTTGAAAAGTTTTAGGGTCAATACTCAGATTATTCCGCCGTAATTCACACTAAATAAAATATATAGTAAGTTTTAATTATTTAATTCAATCTTTCTCCATTATATTTTCCATTGTGGGAGAAGTTGGTTAGTCCTTCAACTCAGAATTTTGATATTAGAATTTATGTTAGGTAATGCGAACTTAGTGACAAGAGTTCATATATATATAACCATTACTATTTTGATTAATTATTTTGACTATTTGATGGAATATTAATGTGGGATTTATCAATTAAAATCTTTGTCAGCCTAGGCCGAACCGAGGCGAGCAACGTCGGCCTTATCGTCAAGAAAGTTGGCTTGTAATTTTTTTTTTTCAAAAAACATTTCTAGTTTTCATTTTTATAAAATTTCTTTTTAATTTATCTTTTTTCGTTTTTTTAAGGTTTTAATTTTTTTTTTTTTTCAACCATCTCTAGATGGCCGAGTGAAGCGATAAAAACTTTTGGGTGTATTACTTAAAAAGTCTTGAATTCGATTTACCTTTGGTTGCTGATAGGGATGGTCACTGGAGGGTTTAATTGGTTGTTAACTTTAAGACTTCGAGAGAATTAGTTAAGGTTTACGTAAACTGACTCGGAAAGACACCCTCAGTCACAAAAAAATAATAATTTTAATTTAAGAACAACACATAGTTAAAAAAAAAAAAAAAAAAAAAAAAAAAGCTACGGGCATCTAAGTCATTTTATCATTTTTTTTGTTGAAATAAAGGCAAATCACTGTTAGATGTTCCTTAAATGATTTGTAACTTCTATTATCCTGTTGCAAAAGTCCGAAAAGTTTGTACACTAGACTCTAGTTGATAGTATCTCTATTAATATCTCTCCTTGATTAATTCTAACATCAAACTCTTATTGAAACTTGTATTTTTCATCAATCTTGAAATCTTACAAATGTTTAGTGGAAACAAATTATGCACATACAACACGCTCAGGAAAGTAGAAAATTAATCAAAGAAAGAATGGAAAACAATTGGTAGAAATAAAACACAACCGAAACATTTCAAGTGTTTAATTTGTAAATAAAATAATAAACACAAATGAATTTTTGTATTAAATTTACAGGCAACTTCTTGGTATGACTGTTCCACTAGTGCTCCCATGAGCATTTTTGCAGTATGAAGAAGAGGATTTGCCATTATAAGTAAGTTTTATGTCTTGTAATTTGATTCCACTGCAAGGATTGCTGGATAAGCAATCGAAACTCATGGCTACTGGTGTTGCTGAAGTTCCCTTTATGTTTCTGTATGTCACTCCACTAATCTTCACCCCAGAACTCTGATAAAAAATTAAAAAAAAAAAAAAAAAAAAAAGGTAAACTCCCTTCATTATCATTTTTTTAAAGTGCTATATATAAGTAATCAATCTCCAGTATAAACTGTCTTCAGGTTTTCAATGTTCGACCAAAGTTGAGTGACTTTAACACGATAAAGATTTTAGATGTTTTTGTACATGAAAATTTTTATATTTGAGAAAATATAGTTCAATTATCCGTAATACTATTCTCTCGGACGGATGTCCGCAATTTTTAAAAGTTAAAACATGAATTCATGTGTGAATAACCTCTAAGAGCCACAGGTATATAGCAGTTAATGAAATTTTGTCTTTTAACGAACTCAACCAACATAGTAAAAAATATAAAACTTTAGAAATTGATCAACACTCACTCTCGAGGGGCAAATATATTGTGTTAGAAGAATTTTTTACCTGATGAGGACATCCTTTTTTATCAGGGCAATAGTTCTGATCGATGATGATAGGATTACCGACATTTTTCATGATGAGATTTCTGAAGACTATGTTCTTGGCATATCCATTGCTTGCTCTAGCCCATGATTTGATTCTAACTCCATTTTGAGTTTTGGTGAAGACTGAACTTGTTACTGTAATATTTTGAACACCTTCTTCATTCTGATAGTCACCAAGACTCCCAATACTGTAAAAGAACCACTTCACTATCAGCATTTAGCAACTTAATTAATTGAATTAATTTACAAATGATGCTTGTAAACTGTAATTGGTGTGATGAAAATAGTTTGGGTTTGGACCTGTAGCCCAATTGAGAAAGACCCAGTTCTAGAGTTTGGATCATCCTCAGGGTTAGGCCCATTTGATAGCATTTATCAAAATAGGAGTAGATTGAATTCAAGCATAAAAGCTGCCAATAACACTAGTCTTAGTTTATAATGCATTACCTAATTCCATGGCCAGGGCCACAGCCAATTTGTTCAATCCAGACATTCTTGGAGCCTTGACTGAGTGATATACAATCGTCTCCGGTCATGATGGTGCTACCGCTGATCGTAACATCGGTAGACGATTGTATGTGAATGCCATCGGTGTTTGGGCTGCTGGATGGAGCTGAAATTTTCACATTTTGAATCCTGACATTGTTGCAATGGTGAAGTGCAACGTGAATTGTCTGGCTGTTGATCGACGTTAAGCCATTGAGTATAATGTTTCTTGACCAGCTAAATGATATCGACTGCATCAAAACACATCCATCAGTTAATTTTGCAAGCTATATTAATTAATTTACATATTTAAAGTAATAGATTGAGTCTTCTATAGTACTGATTCAATAATGTTTTTGAATTTATATGTTTTTTTTTTAATTATTATTAACGTTTTTGTTAGTGTAAATATGTTTGTATTACAAATTTATATGATATTAAAATTTCAAATTTTTAACATACTAGACCGATACAGTAATATACGTAATTATTTTTTTTCTAAAATATATAATTTAAAGACATAAATATCCCAGATAACATGTAAAGAATACTAAAATTATAAAAATAATAATTGTGCAAGTTTTCAATAGATTCTTTTATGAAACTATTTACTTCTATAAAAAACATAACATTTATTAATTTTTTTTAATATATTTGGCTTGGGACATACGTCTCTTGAACATGTTAGATTCTTATTTTCATAATTATATATTAAATAAAATAAGATTAGTTTTCATTTCTAATATGTTTAACCTTTGATATCCCATTAATTTTAATAAATTTTCTTTAATTTTATAATTCAACACAATATCTATAACATAACTTGGTAATTTGGTAACATACCCTAGCACCAGCAGGGCAACTTCTTCCACCTCTGCGACATGCCCAAAAGCCAGACCCTCTTGCATCAATGCTCCCACCATAGATTGAAACTCTGGCCACTTTACTGAACAATATCCAGTAGCCAGAATTCCCAAGGTTCCAATAATTTGATGGAGCCACCAGGGTTCCATCAATTTTGAACACTATTCTACTCTTGCATGGACCCCCAAACACCACTGCCTTTATCAAAAAAGTCCCTTTTGGAACGTAGATCGTCGTCGGATTCGTTGACTTGCATGCTGATGACCATGCCTTGAGAAACGGCTGCGTTGAGTCGGTCTTGCCGTCTGGTTTGGCACCGTAACTCATTACGTTCACATTGTATGCTGCATTTGAGGATTGAATGAGGAAGATGATCATAATTGTGAGGAAGAAAATTGGAGAAGAAGAGGAAGTTGCTGCCATGGTTAATGTTCGATAATGAATGAATGAATGAATGAATGAATGAAGATGTTTTGATAGATGGAAGTGAATTTATAGAAGAGTTTAGTGAGATATTTGGATCAAGAATTCGTTTAAATAATTATATGATTTAAGTGTAGAACAAGCTAGTTATATATTACTCTTACGTTATGATATGTACGGTGACATGCACTGATTTGTTTATATATAAATTACATATATAAAATGATATTTTTATGTTCAACAAATGTAATTATCTCGGAAATTTTAATTATACCAGAATAAAACCGTTTTAATTACCCCTTTATTGCATGCATTACAATTTTTTTTCCATCTTTGATTTGTTAGTTTTACCATATACAACTTGTAAGTAATATATATATATGTGGAAATTCTCAAATTCAAACAAAAAATATGAACTTGAAATCTAGAGTTTAATTTTTGCTAGCAAGAGTTAACATTTGCCTATAAGATTTGCCATTTTTTTTTTTTTTTAATCAAGTGTCCGAGTCAGGTTACGCGCATATCGATTAGTCTTTGAAAGAGACTAACATAGTTATCCATCGTCATAACTTCTTACTTAAATCGCAGATGTTCAAATGGGGAATCGAAGATTTGTGGTTTTTTTGTCCTTATAAAACATAAATGTTACATGTGAAAGTTAACTCATGCATGAATAAATCAACTCTCCTTATTGATTATTTTTAAAATCAGGATATCCATAATGGACTCAACATTGAATCAACATGAATTGAATTAACGATTACTTCAAATTAATGGTTAATATTACATAGAAAATGTTTTTACTTGACCGTTAGCAGAATTGATTGAAATTTAATTTATTCCTTTATTTTTTATATATAAAATGGAAGTCTGTAAACAGACAGCTTGCAAATAATATAATTGTGGAGTAAATGCTTGAGTTTGGGGAGGAATATTCTTGAGTGTAAAACACTCACACGGTTGTTTGAATCATGTGGCACATGTGGAGAATTTGCGGAAGAAGAAAGATGGAGGCAGCATCAACATGGGGTACATTGCCGTACAACTATAAGATGCTATTCTTTCATAAATACTACCATTTGGCTTGGCTGTTTGAGGCATCTTTTTTTGTCTTGGGCTTCAATGGTCTGACCGATTCACATTCTTTTTATATAGTAATTGTGGGATATAAAGTTTTTGCATAGAAAAAATACTACTAAAAAATAAAAATAGCGATCTTGAGAGTCCTTAACCATAGTATATGGAATCTGGATTTAAAAAAAAAAAAAAAAAAAAGGAATCCATGTTTATATCTATACATTAGTTTTTGTTATAAGTTGTATTTGTCTTACATCATCAATTTGATAGATTCTTACGGCGTATATATTTGGTTGAGTTCTTTTTTTTTTTTTTGGTTTTTTGGAGTTAGCTTTGAGGTGGCTTCAACCCAAACCCGTCTATCATGTTATAGCCACGTCTAGGCAAATTATAATCAATAAATGATAAATTGTTCATGCTAGACAACTTTGGGGCATGACCACTCCGCTGGTTGTTCCCTTTCCTTAATGTTCTTGCATGAAGATGTAGCCTCTATATTTATGTAAGTTTAATATTTTGCAAATTGATCCCTTGGTATGGACTAGTAGGGCTGCAATAGAATATCACAGCCCATTGTTTAGAAGTTCCTTGTAAAATTATGTATCAAATTTCAACTTTGAAAAATTGATTAATAGATATTAAACTTATGTATCAAATTTCAACTTTGAAATATTGGTATTGTGACTACCTGATGAGGATATCCTACTCTGCGAGGGCAGTAATTTTGATAAATTATAATAGGGTTCTTCACATTGTTTATCACAATGTTTTGAAGACAGCATTTCTCACAAAACCAGTGCTAGGTCTTGCCCATGACTTGATTCGAACTCCATTGTCTGACCCTGTGAAAACTGCATTTGTTACTTTTATGTTTTCGACACCATCTTCTTTGAAGCTCCTCGCAAGACTACCAATGCTACGACAAGGGAAAAAAATATTCAATTAGTGTAACTGTTAAAAGACAGAATGTTATATTCTCTTACATAAAGTTTGATCGAAATTTTATCTTTTAATATTAATTGTCGATGCAACTTAAAGGCTGATGGTATAGTGGCCAATTTTTTTTTTTTTTTTCACTTACCTTATACCATGTCCTGGACCACATTTGATGTTGTCCATGAGCAAGTTCCTCATGCCTGGACCGATTGATATACAATCATCTCCAGTCTGAAGAATGCTACCAGTGATTATAACGCTGGTGGAGGATTGAATGTGGATGCCGTCTGTGTTAGGGCTTTCTTCTGGAGCAATAAGCTTCACATTTCGGACTATCACATTTTTGCAACTATTGATCACAAGGTGAGTTGCCAGACTGTTGATTGACGTCAAGCCAATTTGGATGTTATTGACCCAATTGAATGTTATCGACTGTAATCACACAGAGAGTCAAATAAGACTTTGTATTTTCTTAAGTAAAAGCTTGATTCAAGAGAGAATCCTGTAATGTATATAAAAATTTAACTTCGCTCGAGAACTTACCCCAGCTTCAACTGGGCAATTCTGTCCAAATTTCCGGCAATTCCAGAATCCAGCACCCTTTGCATCAAGATTGCCACCATTGACTGCAAGATATATTATCAACTTTTCCGAACAAAACCCAATGCTTCGAGTTTCCGAGTGCATGGTAATCCGTAGGAGCAACGAGCGTTCCATCTATTTGAACTCTAATTCCCTCTAAATTCTACGATCAAATACCTTCCTCTTGGGATAAAAAATGTGGACGCCTGAGCTGAGCCACAAGTAGCAGCCCGGCTAGGCCTTGCGGAAGGAGTGCGTTGAGTCTGTTCTGCCTTCCGGTTTTGCACATTAGAGATCACATTGTAGGCAGTGTTTGTCGGATAAGGAATGTAATAAAGAGACAGGTTATAAAAAAAAGAAACAATAAGCTTGGCTGCCATGGAAAGAGAGACATTAAAAGCTAGAGAATATGAGATAATAGTAGACTAATTTCAAGGCAATTGATGAAACAAAGAAGAGACAGTTGGTGTATTTTATTGAAAATTTATGCGCATGTCCTTCTGTACTTTGTACTAACTATTTGTGATACAAAATCTACATAACTGTTACAATCAAAATTTTACTGTGCTAAATCTTTTTCTTTCCTGATCCTTTGAAATATTGTTTCTCTTTCCTTTTTAAGCTGGTGGTTGAAAAGCTAAATTCTAGAGAACAGATAGTTCACGTGGAGTATTATATACAACGGATATGGATTCAGGATTTAATTTGTGCCGAATATCAATTAATGTACAAATAAATAAACATATAAATAAACTATAAAGTTTAGATTGTTTTTTATTTTTTCACAAAACAAAATATTATTTTTATAACCCAATCTAATACTTGGTTTTTTACATCAAAAAGAAGACGTTTTTTTTTTTTCTTTTTTTTTTTTAATTAAAGTTATAAGTTTTCCAGAAAGAAGATTCCCAAAATGGTCAACGTAATAAATGTATAAGATCAATAATATAAATGTATATTTAAATATTGGGGTGGCCGAAGAAAGAAAAAAGTGAGTTATTACTTTGTAAATTTATATACTATTTTTTCTTTATTTACAAAGTAGCTGGGTGGCTTTGGCTGCCCTAGGCCTAAGTCTGGGTCTTCCACTGATTTACAAGATCAGTTGCATTGATATAAAGGAAACAAAGAAAAGCAATGGCCTTCTGTGAGGGCTTATTACAATGGCGCCACTAAGGTTTGACATAAAAACTCTACCCTAATTTTGAAAATTATGGTTAAATCCTCAAATAAAGCATCTATCAATTAAAAGTAACGATATAAGGGGTAGAAAAAATAATTCGAATAAATTGCAAGTATTTTTGACCAAACAATTGACAATTTTAAACAAACGACTAAATATTTTAACTAAACATTTAGCTATTTTGATACTGTTTCGATTCTTGAATGTAAAACAATCAATCGTTTGATCAAAACCCTCAATTATTTATTCTATCTATTGCAAAGTTACTTATCCTACTTTTACCAAGTTTCTTCTTTTAAGTGAAGTAAATATTCTTCCATTAGTAGTAAATTATTATTTAACTGGGAGAAGACTCAATAATACTTCTTTGTGAAGCAACAACCATTGATTATAGCCAATTTGTAAACAAATATTCCCCTTGTAAGTAAACAATTAATTTTCGCGGCCGCCAGTGTAAAATCTTTAACCTTTAGTTTTATGGACGGCTCATGATAGGTTGACTCTTGTAATCTTCAACCTTTCTTAATTCTTTAATTAACACGTTATATTCTTGATTAATCAGTAAAACAAACACAAATTGGCGGCAACCAAGAATAAATGAACCCACTTATGAACAAAGCACGAGTGGTGAAACTTCCCAGGAGAAAGCTCACAAGTTGCCAAAGATTCACAAGCTAAGCTGCTATCAGCCAAAAAATATAAGATTCACATAGTTTGGCAGTGGCCTACATACACAAGAACTTGTTACTGTCAAGTACATTTCATGCATTAAAAAACTAAATAAATTAATAAAAGAAACAAGGCTTTTTTATTTTATTTTAATATTCTAGACTCAGATTCCCAACTCCACTTAATGTTACATGTTATATCTCACATAGTTAGTGAATGAGCTTGTGATTTAGGTCATAAGGATTAGGTCCAATGTGTTCTGGGCGCAAGACGCTTACGTGAAGTTCAAAAGCAAATCTGTGCTGATCTGAAAACGGATAATATCTATTTAGTTGGCAAATAAAATTAAAGAATCTTCAGTAAATGTGAAAAACAGATTCATATTCTACATATAAGCATCTATAATTAATTATACAGGAAATCTTTTGTTTACAGACAACTTTTTGGCACCTCAACTCCACTGGAGCTCCCCTGTGCATTTTTACAATATGCTGATGCTGCAGCTTTACTATTATTATAAGAAAGATTAATGTCCTGTAATTCTATCCCAGTACATGGATTACTAGAGCTGCAATCAAAATTTATGGCTACTTTTGTGGCTGATGTTCCCTTTATATTCTTATATGTAACGCCGCTAATTTTGACTCCGGAACTCTGTTACAAATTGAAAAAAATAATAATAATAATAATTATAGTATCCAGCATAGTCAATGAAAATTGTTATATTTCTTTATCAAATTGCTTGTTTAGTTACCTGATTGGGGCAACCTTTGCGGCCAGGGCAATAATACTGATCAATAATTATGGGGTTATAGGCATTTTTCATAATGATATTCTGAAAATTAATGTTTTTGGCAAATCCATTGCTCGGTCTCGCCCATGTTTTAATCCGAACTCCGTTTTCAGTTTTGCTGAAAGTGGAATCGGAAACTGTTACATTTTCAACACCATCTTCATGTGCACTGTCCCCAAGACTGCCGATGCTGTAAGATGAACAACAAATATTTCGTAATTGTTATGAAATTACTCGATACTTTAATTCTGACATCGGTCATTTGACTGAAAAGCTTAAATTGTTAAGTAGTGTACCTGATTCCATGGCCAGGGCCACAGGTGATGCGCTTGATCAACAAGTTTTTAGAGCCGGGACCGAGTGATATGCAGTCGTCTCCAGTCTTGATGGAGCTGTCAGTTATGGAAATTCCTGAGGAAGATTGGATGTGGATGCCATCGGTGTTGGGACTCCAGCTTGGAGCGCTTATGTTCAACTTTTTAAGTGCAATGTTTTCGCAATCATCGATAGCAATGTGAAAATATCGGCTGTTTAACGATTTTAATCCGCTCACCACAATATTACTCGACTCCATGAATGTCAGTGACTGCATTATTAGATACAAAAAGTTTTGTCAATTATAAATGTATCAGAAAATGTTATTGACTCTGAATAATCATTTGAATCGACGAGACATACCCTAGGTAGAGGTGGGCAACTCTTTCCAGATTTCCTGCAAGCCCAGTAGGCAGCTCCTTTCGCATCGAACTTTCCTCCACTAATAATCAACCTGGAGACCTTGTAGAACATAATCCAGAATCCAGAATCACCGAGAGCCGAATAGCTAGACGGAGCTACTATAGTTCCGTTAATCTGAAACACAATTTTGTTGTTACATGTTCCATTAAAAAATATTGGTTTTATCAGGAACCGGCCCTTAGGAACATTTATGGCGGCCGGCCTGGTCGATTTGCACGCTGCTTCCCAGGCGTTTGTAAATGCTTGAGTTGAGTCAGTTTGGCCATCTGGTTTTGCACCAAAACTGATGACATTATAGGCTTCAATTGATGATTGGAAGAGTGTAATGAAGGAGATGATGAAGAACGTACAAGAAATTGAAAGCTTAGACATGTTTTTTATTAGAAAAATTACTAGCTTGCAGAGATTAATTGGATACCGAAATTTGAGAAAATTTATATTCTTTGCTTGGACCGATATGTGTAGAAATTTTTAATTTGGTTGATGTACTTGACAAGTAAATTAGATGTTACTCTTACGTTAGTTAATATATTTGATGTACGGTGGCACTGCGTTGTGTGTTTTCATATAATATAATATATTAGAGATATAAATTGTGTTGATACAATATGTATAATTAATTAAGCACAAAATAAGACACTTTCTGATTGCCTACGTAATCCTAAAAATTAATCTGTTAATTCCAATGAAATTGTACCATGTGTTTCATTCATCTGAGCGATTTCTACGATGTGGGATTTTTGAGCAATAATAGATCGATTTATCCCTCAACATGACATTATTGGCAAAGCAAAAATCCAAATGAAAATGACACGAGAAGAGATCGAATTGAAACAGAAAACTTATGGTTATACGCATTTCCGTTTTCTAACTAAATTCTAGTAGTAGGATGAAGCTAGGATTTAATATTAAAGGGGGCAAGTTCAAAATAAAATGATATAAAATTTATAATAAAAATACTGTTACAGGAGGCAAGGATGTAATTCAAATTTCCTTTTTTAGAGTTTACTCTCTACTTTTAGATGGATGGGGTCAATTTGTAAAGTAAATTATACCTAATTAGGAAAGAAAAAAAAAAAAGGTTAAAGTACTGAGGAAAATTAATTAAAAAAAAATTGAGTGTGGTTACCAGACTCAACGTTTAAACCCATTTCTTGGGTTTGTCTAAGAGACTAACAAGTGGCAATTGATCATTAGCTATAGGAGTGGACAAAAAATTAGGATAGAACCGGGATTGACGGATACCCAAATGTCTTTGTTTAGATTTGCGTGCGAAAATTGAGATAGATAGACAACTATAGCTTTCTTTCAAATGCATTCATACTGGTAAGAATATATTTTTGCCTGTATGTACATGTGAAAATTGAGATAGATAGACGACTGTAGCTTTCTTTCAAATGCACTCATAATGGTAAGAATATATTTTTGTCTGTATGTACATATTATTAATTTATGTACAGTAATCTTGTAAAGGTTAATTTAATAAAATAATATCTAAGTAATATATAATTATTGCCAACCAAACACCTTAATTATTTCAATAAAGATATTTTAATTATTTCAATAAAGATTGACTCACAATTCAATTTCACAAATTTTCTCTCATAATCCCGACGTGACAGTTTACAATTAGTCAGTTCGCAATTGGATAAGCGGGATCCATTGTTAGGTAGGCAAGACACATTATAAGTTGACCAATTGTGAGCTATCACGTCTAAGTTATGAGATAAAATTTGTGAGATTGAGTTGTAAACGTAGTATTGTTATAACTATTTATATATATAGTCACGACGAACCAAACACAGTAATTATTTATATCCAATAATCTTCACGGGTAATCATATCCAACTAGTAGTAAAACATTCTCGAAACCAAACGCCCCTTAGGTTAGTAAATTTATTTGATATACGGTGGCACTGCTTTGTGTTAGTTCATACAATAATATATTAGAGATATAAACTGTTGATATTTTATGTATAATTAATTAAGCACATGATAAGATACAATTGCTGATTGCCTACGTAATCCTAAAATTTAATTTGTTAATTCCAATGAAATTGTACCACGTATTTCATCTGAGCGATTTATACGATGTGGGATTTTGGAGCAATAATAGATCGATTTATTCCTCAACATGACATTAAAAATCCAAATGAAAATGACACAAGGAAGAGATTGAATTGAAATAGAAAAATGTTGTAAAGTGAATGCTGAAACGGCATCGTATTGTGTTAAATGGAACGGCGTCGTTTTTGGGACAGCCCATGAGTGATCCTGACCGCAAATTCAGAAGGGGATCCAACGGCTGAGATCTTGCCTGAAGTCAACACTATAAAAGGTTTAGGGTTTCATTTGGTAACAGTAGATCGAATAACGATTGAGTGAGAGCAGTCTTCGTTTTCTTGTAAAACCTAGGGTTCGTTCTTTGGGNGTTAATTCCAATGAAATTGTACCACGTGTTTCATCTGAGCGATTTATACGATGTGGGATTTTGGAGCAATAATAGATCGATTTATTCCTCAACATGACATTATTGCCAAAGCAAAAATCCAAATGAAAATGACACAAGGAAGAGATTGAATTGAAATAGAAAAACTTATGGTTAGCTCATGATATTGCATACCCATTTCCGTTTTCTAACTAAATTCTAGTAGTAGGATGAAGCTAGGATTTAATATTAAAGTGGGCAAGTTCAAAACAAAACGATATAAAATTTATAATAAAAATACTGTTACAGGAAGCAAGGAGTATTCAAATTGCCTTTTTTAGAGTTTACTCTCTACTTTTAGATGGGTGGGGTCAATTTGTAAAGTAAATTATACCTAATTAGGAAATAAAAAAAAGGTCAAAGTACTGAGGAAAATTAATTTTAAAAAAATTGAGTGTGGTTACCAGACCTGACGTTTAAACCCATTTCTTGGGTTTGTCTAGGAGACTAACAAGTGGCAATTGATCATTAGCTATAAGGGTGGACAAAAAATTAGGATAGAATCAGAACCGACGGATACCCGTCTTTCTTTAGATTTGCGTGTGAAAATTGAGATAGATGGACAACTATTAGCTTTCTTTCAAATGCACTCATACTAGTAAGAACATATTTTTGTCTATATGTATATGTTACTAATTTATACCCAATAATCTTGTAAAGGGTAATTTAATAAAATAATATGTAAGTAATGTATAATTATTGCCAACCAAACAGCTTAATTATTTCAATAAAGATTGACTCACAATCCAATCTCATAAACTTTCTCTCATAATCTTAACGTGACAGTTCGCAATTGGACAAGCAGGATCCATTGTTAGGCAAACAAGATATATTATAAGTTAACCAATTATAAACTGTCACGTCTAAGTTGTGAGATAAAGTTTGTGAGATTAAGTTATAAATTTAGTATTGTCATAACTATTTATATAGTCCCAACGAACCAAATACAGTAATTATTTATACCCAATAATCTTCATTGATAATCCTATCCAACTAGGCAACTAGTAATAAAACATTCTCGAAACCAAACGCCTCTTAGGTTAGTAAATGTATTTGATGTACGGTGGCACTGCTTTGTGTTTGTTCATACAATAATATATTAGAGATATAAATTGTTGATATTTTATGTATAATTAATCAAGCACATGATAAGATACAATTGCTGATTGCCTACGTAATCTTAAAATTTAATTTGTTAATTCCAATGAAATTGTACCACGTGTTTCATCTGAGCGATTTATACGATGTGGGATTTTGGAGCAATAATAGATCGATTTATTCCTCAACATGACTTTATTGCGAAAGTAAACATCCAAATGAAAATGACACTAGGAAGAGATTGAATTGAAATAGAAAAACTTATGGTTAGCTCATGATAATTGCATACCCATTTCCGTTTTCTAACTGTTGATGCTTGATTTTGACACCAACTAGATGCACGTATGAAATACTGAGCTGGTCTAGAAGACACACGTGAACAGGGGTATGAGAATGGATAAAGGATGGAAGACAATGTTTAAAGTGGTTCGGATGCTTAAGCAAGCGACTCCTACGTCCACTGATATTGTATTAATATGAAGGGTTAGGTCGCGTTCAGCGAGCTGACTTACAAGTGATTACAGGAGAGACAATAAACTGTTACACAGAGAGATAAGCTAATACAGAGTAAAATGAGCCAATCCCACAAACGGGAGAGGAGCTCTCTATTTATAGTGAGATGAATTGAGGTAATGATTATTGAATCTGGGAGTGGGTCAGGTTGTCGTGCAGATCCTTCTTTATATCCCGTTGCTCACCTACTCGAGTGATTTACATGGTGTGTGCATGGATTAAACACATGGAGCTCCTCCAGCCTCTGATCATTCTGACGCGCACCCACTACACTAGCAGGAGCATGCTACTCACGCCAGTACGCGACATGGCAATGTCTGACTGGCTGTAGGTCCTACCCAAACTTTGACCAATTTATGCTGACAGGGCACTGCGTCAGCCCTACTTTTCCAGGCATAACAGAAGTCCCCTAGTTTTTAAGGTTTGAGAATCGAACCTTGGAAACTGCATAATTATGCCTTGATTTGATGCGTTCGAAGAGGTGATGGCCGACTCGACCTGGTTGCGAAGAGGTTGGGGAAACATTTCCATACGGGCGACCTGAAATGACCTTTATTTAAGGGTTAGCGACCTCTTCTTAGGCCATATTTAGTGGCGATGACCTCGACCTGGTCTGAAATTAGCGACCTGATTACACTTAGGGAGTTTCACTAAGAACAAAGGATCACGTCGCTTCACAACAGTCCGCTGAGGTCAAGGGGCCACGTCGCTTCGCGACTTACAAGATGAAGAGTGTTTTTCATAACGACCTCTTCAGATATTTTCCGTTGCGCTTTTGTTGTGAGTTCATTTAATGAAATACCTTTTGCTCTGATAGACGTGTCTTATGCGCAATAAGTGCCAGCCATGCGTATTACATGCAAGCCATGCTGAAACGACATTCCCTATTAGAACATTAACTGCGGACATGGGCACATTAAATGTGGAGGAGGGAGAACGTGACGTCGCTTGAGTTTTTCAACGGAAAGGAACCACGATTTGGTTTCTTAAGGCGTGATGGTCACTCTTCTTCGTTGATTCGCGACACGTGATCGCGATCAAAGGTTAGATGCGTTTTCCGCCCAAACGTCGTTTGACTCTGGGAAACCAAAGCACCATTTCCTTCACTATAAAACCCAGGTTCACTTCGAGCAATGTCACAATATTCATCTTCTTAGAGAGAGCAAGAGATTTTCGTGAACTTTGATTCTTTGCCTTTCAAACCGGTGTGCACTTGATATTCGAAGTAGGAGGATTAATCTTCTCATTCCAAGAGGTAAGAATTGTTCCTTCTGCCACTTTAGTCATTTTTTTT